ACTAACCCGTGTATATGGTGGTGCTGCTGGGAGGAAATAGAGTTTGCTGAGTTTGCTGGGGAAAGTTTTGTACTCAATTCACAACTACATCTCTTCGTCCAGAACTAAACAGAATGTAACAAGCCAATCCATTTAACCATTTCCTGAAAAATACCAACCCAGTGCACCATATCTGCAAGGCCTCACTCCACAAAATGTATTAAAATCGCAGCAATCCGATGACCCCAAGGGCTCCAGTACATCAGGGAGATCAATGCCTCATGCGCAGTGCATGACACATGTCACGGTCCAGTGAGATCAACGGTCGTAGTCAGTCAGTCACCTGAAGGTATCTCAGCTCTCCTGTCCCCGTGTCCTCATCATAAGGGACAATCTTGAAATCTATGATGGCTGCAGCAGCACAGAAAAGAGCCATGCACCTCAAGTCAAATTATTCTGCCCGAATTAGACATTCGATTGAATGAGGTATGCAAAGCTTCTCAAAACAAAATACAGACATACAGACTTTGATTCAAGCACGTAAAACAGAATTATCGTACTTTTCTAGTGATTTCAGAATTGAACAAGTCCGAGTCTATTATGTTCATAGTTATGAGAAAGATTGGATTCTCGGTGTGAATGGGTAAGTCTTTGAAGGAGTAGGGAACACCGAACTTCCACGCATCAACAACAACTCCATTCCTTCGCTTCGCAATGATCATTGCCGCAATAGGATACACAAGCCGAAATTCCCCTGCAACTCGCAAGCAAGCCCGCAAGCCAGTGAGGGACCCTACACCTTTCAAAAAGTACTCCCAGTGTCTTATCTTACTTAGTCCTTTCAACTTTTGTGAGCTTTTTTAAAGTCTTTCCTGTTAACTAAAAAACAAAAACAAAAAAGACCTTGCATCTTCAAATGGTGTCAAGAGACTCAAGACAAACCATAAAAAAAAGCATCAATTTTAAACTACGAGTGTAAGCCTGTGAAGTGGGAAAAAAATAAGGAGCGAAGAAAATAGCGTAGTTTCATGAAACTCTCCCCCCCTCCTCTTTTCAGATGTAAAAACATGCTTGCCAGTAATGAGCAACCGGCCTTAGCCGCCCAGAATAGAAGGGGAATTTTGTTTTGTAACCAAAAAAAAAAAAAGAAAAAAAAAAAAGACATACTGATGGGCAACGAGAGTGAAAGGCGATGCTCTCACACGAAATCCAGCCTGCTCGCATGATGCGAGATGGGCAAAGGTAAAAAATACTAAAAATAGTAAGCAACAGGCATACCTGTTACCTACCTTTCCGGACGATCTCCACCACACAATTGATGTTCGGATGATGTGCTGACAGATAACAAACCAAATATCACACCAACAACAAGGAGACAAGAGAAACAGGTGTGTAAGGTCGCTGGCCTGTTTTTCCTCTAATTTGCTATAAAAAGGGGAAAAGACGAAAAGCCAGCGTCAACATTTCCGCCGCCTATTTGATTTGCTGGACAGTTAGGAACTTCACTTGGGAAGAAAACTTTGTTCCTTGTCCTTCAGGACATCCGTTAAAAATTGGAACGATACAGAGAAGATCAATTAGCATGACCCATGCGCAAGGATGACACGCATAAATCGAGAAATGGTCCAAATCCTTGAGAGAGAGAGAGAGAGAGAGAGAGAGAGAGAGAGAGAGAGAGAGAGAGAGAGAGAGATCCTGAAAAACTAGCTGAAGCAAGACAAAGGAGAAAACTTCAATAAAGCACTACGCGCGAAGGTCAGGGGTGAACTTGCAAACAAAAGGGGAGCTTCCATCAATGAGTTTTAAGTTGTAATAACTGCTCAGTGCTCACCTCTACATTTTGGGATGTCAGTGACTACATGAGAATCTGTTTCAAACAAGCCAATCTCTGGTCGATCTGCTGTACCACGAACTGCCAGTCTTGCTCTGCACCGCCATTCCCACTGCAAAGGCATAATGTGTGTGTGACCTTGTTAGGTTCGATTTTGGCAGAGAAGCAGAGTTTGGCTGCTCCTCTAAAAGCCGACCAAACAGAAGAGGCTCTTTTAAATGGAACGAGAAGAAGTTAAGATTCTTAAAAGAACAAAATGAAGGACCTTTTCAGTTCACAACAGCGTGAGTCTCCACTAGGAGGCTTAGAAACTTAGAATTGCCGCTGCTGTTTTGCGGATCCCCTGAATAGTAGGACAAATCCATAAATATAAAATATGTATTAAAAATTAATTAAAAAAGTATTAAAAAAAAACAAACATAAACTCATCTTTGATGCGTTGGCTATTTTTTAGCTACAGCTTGTATTCATTCAGTCATTTGAATGAAATTGAATCTCTTTTCATTTCGGTTCAATTCTTGGACCTTCTTTATACACATTGTTAGGCTGCTCTCCGATTGCCGCTGGATCTTCGCAGTGAGCCTTTTTTTCCAGACCCTGCGCCAATTGCCCTCTCCTTTCAAAAATCTGGCATGTTCTCGCAGTGTACTTAACGGTTTCCTGATGGGTGCATGCAACACCAATCTTTTCCTTCTTTCGTATCTTCTGCTTTTACCACGCGATTTGATTCAAGCACTGCCGTTATACTTTATGACATTGACTATCAGCTTGCTAAGTAGGCAAGGGATGGATTAGAATTTCAGAATTCATAACAATTATATTTTTCTGACTTGCCGGGGGAATAGGAACCGGACTGATGCTCCCCAGAATGGAAAAGGAGCCAGGCCCATAAGGACCTGTTCAAAAAAAAATAAAAATAAAAAATAATAATAATAATTATAAATTACAATGCTATTACATAACATAAATAGGGATAGTAGTAAAGCGCTGAAAAATGGGCGAGGGGAAGTTCGTTAACAATCCCGCATGTTATTGGAATTGTAATCGGTCAAGAGTGAGACCTAGGGCATTATGCACAGTGCAACTTTCTGAAGTTCTAAACTGATTCTCTGGACGTAATTGCAGTCAGATACACCCAGGACAGGCCTTAATCGCAGTCCGATACATCCAGAAAAAAAGTATTACCTACCTTCTTCAATTGAATGGAGCGCACGTCGCATGGTCATTCATTATAGCTGTCTGTATCTAAACTGAAAGTTGCTCCAAATGCAGCTATAATAACTGTGTGTTCTCTTCGGGGTGAGGGCGGTAGTGTGAGTAAGTTCGCATGTATTGTTCCTGAGACATCCAATATAATTATATAGTAATATACACCATGTCTAAAATACAGTCCAGGACATGCAATGCAACACAGAATCTCCATGAAGAGTTCCGTTACGTTGTGCCGGTATTGGGTGTTCAGTGTTCTATAAACTTTTTTTTTGACAGTTTTTGTTTGTTGTTTTTGGGTGTTCACACTGTTCAGTACTGTTTACTTATGCAGCAATGATCATTGATCTCCCGGAAGATTTCCGTCATGTTGTGCCGGTATTGGGTGTTCAGTGCCTTCAAACCTAGGCTGTTTTCCCGGGCGCCCGGGCACCCAACTTCTGCCCGGATACACGCCCGGGTGCCCAGCCGGGCATGACCCCCGGGCAGGGTTCCGGGCAGCCCCAGCGCCAAAAAAAAAAAAAAAAAAAACTAAAACAATTCCGGGAAAAAAATATGTTGTGTAGGATTGAAATACAAACGACTTTTGGCTGAGGGTCACATTATAATTCCTCACAGAATCGGAGATAAAAAAGAAAATAACAGAATCACACAAAGGCATCCCCCTTTAGACCCCTTTAGCCCCTTTAAAACCAATTTATACCCCCCTCCCCCCCCTTTGACAGCCAACTCGCAAAAAACGAAATGAGCCCGGATTTGGAGTCCTCTGGGAGAGC